ACTGTTGAGTGACATTAATTACATTGATATGTTTAAAGTTTTTAGCTAGATCTTGTAAACTAATTACTTAAAAATAATTAAACTATATGTATAACAACATACTCATCAGCTATTTGGTATAATTTCTGTTATAGCCCTTGTTTAATGACAGTGAATCAGCTAATGCTTAGTAATTATTGCATAAACAATTGGAGCTTTATGTGTAATAAAATAAAAAATTGCAAAAACGCAATTAGAACATTGCATAATATAGTGTCATTTTAATCCTGCTTTTTAAATGGATTTTTTTCAGGTGCAGATCACAGGTATCTGGTAGGCAAAATATTTACACTATCTACTTTAATCTTATTTTATGACACCTAGTGTCTGGTCGCATACTGTTGGGGTTAAGTGATTTGATAATGTTTTACCTAATTATGGCCCTTTGTTGTTTTTTTCCATATATGTAATATATAGTGAACATTTTTTTCTTTGCAAAACACCTACATTTCTCAAGGGATTATGATAAAACTTTCACAGAAGCTATGTCATCAAGTGCCCTGGTTCATATTGTCAGGGTTTAGTGATTGAAGATGTTATGGCCCTTTGTTTTCTACAAATATATATGATATTTAGTGGCACATTTTTTTAATCACAACTCCTACATTCATCTAACTGTATATTGTTATTGACTGGAAACATTCTGATTGATGCTTACAGTCAAGGTCATTGTTACTAAAACTTTTATATGTTTCCTGCCATTAACTAGAGAAAGGAATAAGATAAAGTACATGTAGGGATATATGTATGTAATGTTTATCTTCTATGCATAAAAAGAATATAAGTTGCCCGTATGTACAGTTGATTGTTACAGTATTCTTTTCATGTCTGTCAATTTTCAAAACGCTGCTTAACTTTCAGTAAGAATATATGACATTTGTGACATGGTCAAACTTTATTTAATCATGACTTTAGAACTTAAGACAAATTTCCCCCTTCTTTAACTTACTGCCAGTAACTGGTATCTGCCATGAGACAGCATAACTCTGTGGAATTAAGTGGACATTAGTACAAACTTTAAAGCTGCATGCCTCCAGATGAACCAAAATATGTAAAGAAGATTAAACTTGAGAAAATGTACTAAGGTTTTAAGACAAATTAAAAATATAAACGATTCGAGTAATGATTTACATGTTATGTGCTATTAAGGGCTGATTTTGCAGTATTTATCACCATTTTCTACTGCGTTACTAACGCAGTTGGGGCTGTTTTTGCTTATTTTGACCTCTTTTGGGGGTAATTTACGTGGATTGCAAATGCTGTTTGCAATGTGAAAATTATTTTCTTTGATCATTTAACAATATTTTACTTTCAAATCATGAATCTGGAGGCATGCTGCTTTAAAATATATTAATTTAGTTGGATAAAATTCCCTTCTATTGTGATAATGTGCTTTTTTCCTTGACTATTCGATAACAATAAGAAGAGCTATTGTAGTCACCCGAGCGTCGGTGTCGGCGTAACCACTTATGTTTAAGTTTTTGTAAAACCTCAAATATTTTCAAAGTCCACTTACATATGGCTTTGAAACTTTGTACACATGTTAACCCTCATGACCCCAACCTTTAGACAGGAGGAGGTAACTGTATCAAGCATTTTGACAGAATTATGCCCTTTTTTAACATAAAATTTATGTTAAAGTTTTTGTAATAGCTCAAATATTTTCAAAGTCCATTGACATATGGCTTTGAAACTTTTCATAAACCCAACCTGTAGACAGGAGGAGGTAGCTGTATCAAGTATTTGACAAAATAATGCCCCTTTTTTTACTTAGAATTTATTAACCAGGTTTTCAACGAAAACCGGGTTATTGTTATGCCGAAGTCGGCGGTGGGGGGGGGGGCAGGCGGGCGTGCGGGCGTCAACTTTTGGTTTCCGCTCAATAACTTTAGTTTGCTTTGGCCTATTGACACCAAACGTGGTGTGTAGGTAGCTTATATCAAGAGGCAGCTTGGGATTGCTACCCAGGTGTCTGTGATAAAGGTCAAGGTCACTGTTACTAAAAATAGAAATTCAGTTTCCACTCAATAACTTGAGTTTGCTTTGGCCTATTGACACCACACTCGGTATATTGATAGCTTATATCAAGAGGCAGCTAGGTGTCTGTGTTCAAGGTCAAGGTCACTGTTACTTAAAATAGAAATTCAGTTCTGCTCAAAAACTTCAGTTTGCTTTGGCCTTTTGATGCCTAATTTGGCGTGTAGGTAGCTTATATCAAGAGGCAGCTTATATCAAGAGGCAGCTAGGTGTCTGTGTTCAAGGTCAAGGTCACTGTTACTTAAAATAGAAATTCAGTTCTGCTCAAAAACTTCAGTTTGCTTTGGCCTTTTGATGCCTAATTTGGCGTGTAGGTAGCTTATATCAAGAGGCAGCTTAGGATTGCTACCCAGGAGTCTGTGATCATGGTCAAGGTCACTGTAACTAAAAATATAAATTCTGTTTCCGCTCAATAACTTGAGTTTGTTTTGGCCTATTGACACCAAACTTGGTGTATGGTTAGCTTATATCAAGGCAGTTTTGGGATTGCTACCCAGATGTCTGTGGTCTAGGTCACTGTTACTAAAAATAGAAAATTCAGTTTCCGCTCAATAACTTGAGTTTGCTTTGGCCTATTGACACCAAATTTGGTGTTTATATAGCTTATATCAAGAGGCAGCTTGGGATCGCTACCCAGGTGTCTGTGATCAAGGTCAATGTCACTGTTACTAAAAATAGAAATTCAGTTTCCGCTCAATAACTTGAGTTTGCTTTGGCCTATTGACACCAAACTTGGTGTATATATAGCTTATAACAAGAGGCAGTTTGGGATTGCTACCCAGATGTCTGTGGTCAAGGTCACTGTTACTAAAAATAGAAATTCAGTTTCCGCTCAATAACTTGAGTTTGCTTTGGCCTATTGACACCAAATTTGGTGTTTATATAGCTTATATCAAGAGGCAGCTTGGGATCGCTACCCAGGTGTCTGTGATCAAGGTCAAGGTCACTGTTACTAAAAATAGAAATTCAGTTTCCGCTCAATTACTTGAGTTTGCTTTGGCCTATTGACACCAAACTTGGTGTATGGATAGCTTATATTAAGAGACAGCTTGGGATTGCTACCCAGGTGTCTGTGATCAAGGTCAAGATCACTGTTACTAAAAATAGAAATTCAGTTTCCGCTCAATAACTTTATTTTGCTTTGGCCTATTGACACAAAACTTGATGTGTAGGTAGCTTATATCAAGAGGAAGCTTAAGAGTGCTACCCAGATGCCTGTAATCAAGGTCAAGGTCACTGTTGCTAAAAAAGAAATTCAGTTTCCACGTAATCACTTCAGTTTGCTTTGACCTATTGACACCAAACTTGGTGTGTAGGTAGCTTATATCAAGAGGAAGCTTGGGATTGCTACCCAGGTGTCTTTGATCAAGGTCAATGTCACTAAAAATAGAAATTCAGTTTCTACTCAATAACTTTGCTTTGGCCTATTGACACTAAACTTGGTGTGTAGGTAGCTTATATCAAGAGGCAGCTTGGGATTGCTACCCAGGTGTCTGTGATCAAGGTCAAGGTCACTGTTACTAAAAATAGAAATTCAGTTTCCGCTCAATTACTTGAGTTTGCTTTGGCCTATTGACACCAAACTTGGTGTATATATAGCTTATAACAAGAGGCAGTTTGGGATTGCTACCCAGATGTCTGTGGTCAAGGTCACTGTTACTAAAAATAGAAATTCAGTTTCTACTCAATAACTTGAGTTTGCTTTGGCCTATTGACACCAAATTTGGTGTTTATATAGCTTATATCAAGAGGCAGCTTGGGATCGCTACCCAGGTTTCTGTGATCAAGGTCAAGGTCACTGTTACTAAAAATAGAAAATTCAGTTTCCGCTCAATTACTTGAGTTTTGCTTTGGCCTATTGACACCAAACTTGGTGTATGGATAGCTTATATTAAGAGACGGCTTGGGATTGCTACCCAGGTGTCTGTGATCAAGGTCAAGATCACTGTTACTAAAAATAGAAATTCAGTTTCCGCTCAATAACTTGAGTTTGCTTTGGCCTATTGACACCAAACGTGGTGTATGGATAGCTTATATTAAGAGACAGCTTGGGATTGCTACCCAGGTGTCTGTGATCAAGGTTAATGTATTTAGTGTTCATGTTATAACTTGAGTTTGCTTTGACCTTTTGACATCAAACTTGCAGAGTGGCAGCTTTGGATTGCCACTTAGATATCTGGGAGCAAGTTCAAGGTCATTTGCTTACAATAGAATTTTCAGCTTCTACTCAATAACTTCAGTGCACTTTGATCTATTAATTGCTGTCACATCAAAACTTGGTCGTTGAAAACCTGGTTTTCGTCGCATTGCGGCGCTTCTTGTGTTAAAGTTTTTGTAATACCTCAAATATTTTCAAAGTCCATTGACATATAGCTTTAACTTTGCACACTTGTTCACCATCATGACCCCAACCTGTAGACAGGAGGAGGTAACTGTATTTAACATTTTGACAAAATTATGCTCCTTTTTCACAATTCAAAATTTATATTTAGGTTTGCATTATGACCCCCTCAGATATTTTCATATTCTATTGACATCTGGATTTGAAACAACTTGAAATTTTATACTCTTCTTTGAGAGCATAATTATATTAAGGACCCTCTCCAAGGCCTATAACTGTAACATGGATTTAAAGAAAAAAATGCCCTTTTGTTAAGTCAGAAAATTTTACATTATCAAGGCTCTTTTACTATCAAGCACTAAGAGTAGTCGAGTGTTGCTGTCCTACTGACAGCTCTTGTTGATTTTTCGTGCCTGAAATCAAAATTTGTTCTGTTTTGTTTATTAGGTTGTGATGATTAGATTAAAGCACCTCTTCAATAGCCTTGTTATGCTACTTGTTACTTTTTCTGTGATTGAAAGGCTAGAAAAGTTAAATAAAATTCAGCTCTTATTGTTCTTAGTATGTTGTTGGTTATGGATTTTAGAAGTTGATCAGCCTTTCTTCATGCCTATGTCTTTTTATCATTACAGGCTTCTCAAGAGTTTTTTTAAAGTACCTCATACAAAATTACTTGTTTGTCGGAGAGGAGGATCAAGCCGCTTTGGACTGGTGGATAAGAAATTGAAGTGTCAGATATGCAAGAAGGAATGTGAGCATTCAAGACTCTGTAGAGAGGTGAAAAACAGAGGCTTTCAAAGTCAATACTTTGAGCTGATTGAAAATCTATTTTCACCTGAACCAGATCAATGTAAAAGAGAAATCAGCAACCAAAGAGCAAGCATTTCTTTAAAAAAAAATTCCATACAGGCAATCAGAAATACTTGCTGAAAGCTTGAAAGGTCTTGAATCAACTTTACAGGAGAATTTACTTCCAGATATGAACCATTGTCCCAACTGTAATGGAAATTTGGAGGAAGGGGGTCCAGTTTTGATGGACTGGATTGCATATGAAAATGTTGTCATAGTAACAAACACTTCATTAAAACATGCTAAAGGTAATAAGTCCCATTTCTATTTTTGAATTTATGTTTACCCATTGTGATTCAAAAGAAGATTTATTGAAGCAATGAAGTTTAAAGAATGATAAATCAGTAGGCCAAAGAGAATCATTGTGGAATAAGTTTTTAATGCAACTTCTTGTACACTCATATTTCAGCAACCACTGAAGCTATTTGCTTATAACTTAAATATATTCAGCAAGTTTTAGGTCTCATTAGAAGGTCAGTATCCAAGGCTTGACTCTGTGACCCTGACATGGATAATGTCAGAATTATGACTGTTTTTGTGTCGCATTGTATGTGTCGCCTTGAAAAAGGCGACATATAGGGGTTACTTTTGTCGGCGTTGTCGTCGTCGGTGTCGTTGTCGGCGTCGGTGTCCCCTTAAGCTTGTCCGGAGCATAAGTCAGTCATTATAGGTCGGATTGACTTCAAACGTGGTATGCATGCTTCTTATAATGACCCGAAGTGCAGTGCACAAGAACCGGTACTCTGCATCTCTTATTTATTGAGTTATTGCCCTTTGTTAATTTTCATACTTTTTTTTTGTCCAGGCCATTTCTCTTAAAGTATAAAAGCTATGGACTTGACACTTCATAAGATGATAGATCTCATTAAGAAGAAGTGCAATGCACAAGAACTGGTACTCTGCATTTCTTATTTTTTTGAGTTATTGCCCTTTGTTAATTTTTATACTTTTTTTTTGTCCGGGCCATTTCTCCTAAAGTATAAAAGCTATGGACTTGAAACTTCATAGGATGATAGATCTCATTAAGAAGAAGTGCATTGCACAAGAACTGGTACTCTGCATTTCTTATTTTTTGAGTTATTGCCCTTTGTTTATTTTCATACTTTATTTTTGTCCAGGCCATTTCTCCTAAAGTATAAAAGCTATGGACATGAAACTTCATAGGATGATAGATCTTATTAAGAAGAAGTGCAGTGCCCAAGAACTGGTACTCTGCATTTCTTTTTTTTTAGTTATTGCCCTTTGTTAATTTTCATTCTTTATTTTTGTCCAGGCCATTTCTCCTAAAGTATAAACGCTATGGACTTGAAACTTCATAGGGTTATAGATCTCATTAAGAAGAAGTGCATTGCACAAGAAATGGTACTCTGCATTTCTTATTCTTTGAGTTATTGCCCTTTGTTAATTTTAATGCCCTTTGTTAATTTTCATACTTTATTTTTGTCCAAGCCATTTCTCATAAATTATAAAAGCTTTAGACTGGAAACTTAATAGGATGATAGATCTTATTGATAAGAAGTGCAGTGCACAGAAACTGCTGCTCTGCATTTCTTTTTTTTTTAGTTATTGCCCTTTGTTGATTTTCAAATTTCATTTTTGTCCTGGCCATTTCTCCTAAACTATATTGTTCACAAGGCGACACATCCGACTCGCGGAGTTCTAGTTTTAATAAAAAAAGTTCCTGATTAAGTTTTATGTATATTCGTTGAATGAGGGTTTGTACTGTCTTTAAAAAATGGAAATAGAGCTTGAAAGTACTTGAATTTGGTTTTCTCTGAAAATGCTTAAAAAGTGCATGACAATGTTCATAGTTTAGCATCTTTATTTCAAGAGTTATCTCCTCTTCAAGAATCTTGCTTTTAAAAAATTTATATTGGTTGTTAAAAGATTTACCTTCAGAGTGTCTTTTAGTCAGTCTGTCTGTTCCGTCCTAAAAACTTTTTAGTCAGTCTGTCTGTTCCGTCCTAAAAACTGTTTTCTGAGATCACTTTTAAACTTGTAACTATTCCAAAAAAATTTACTTTAAATATAGAAAATTTAAAATATTAGTAATACAGATTCATCCTGAGAAAATTGGATCTTTTGATTATCTGTTGTAGATACAAAATTTCCTTCTAAGTAGGGAAACTGAACACATTACTATGATACAGACAAACAAAGAACTCAAGAGATTTAAGTTCATTCATGTCATTCATTTATTCAATGGCAAAATTGAATGGCCAGTGGCCATTCAGAATGTTCTTGGGGTTTTAACTGGAAGAGTACTTATGGATTGCTTGCAATTCTATGATAATTGCTTGTTTTTAATAGAATTTTCTTCATAGTTTATTCTTAAATCATCCATGTTTACCATATAGTCAATCACTTTTTCTTACAAATATCTCTTGTTTTCCAGTGTTCTACAGACCCTGCCAAGATTGTGGTGCTGCAGCAGTATTTGAAGGACAATCAAAATGTCTGCTCAATCTTGGCACATATCTTGTTGGTTATGATGTTTTGAGGTCCTACATGCATAGCTTTCTTCATGGGAGGTGAGTGACTAAGTGCAGTGCCATGTGTAATAAATAAATGTCTGTATCTTTAAAATATTTGTGAACTTGATTTCTTTTTATTTAACCCAAACCAAACTAGAGTAGTTATATCGAATTCACTAGAATGTCGGCCTATCCCTCTGTGCAGACACAAATATGTTGTCCAACAGTTTTCATTGTTCAACATGCAAGTTGCATGTATTGGCTCTATGAAGAGGTACCTTTAGCAGTTAATGGGTCAGATTGGTCATGATACCTTTTAATCGAAATACAGAAACAATTGCATGTTAATAGTTTTAGTTTCAATTTTCCAGTCTACTTAAAACTCTGAACATAACAAACTCCTGTGAAGACCTTTATTTAGATTACATTCATGTCAATGTAATTTATATTGAAAAACTTTTTTGGTTGTAAAATTGTTTTTGGATTAGCCTATGATACAGAAAATAGAAAACAAATGATCTCAAATCAACTGACCATCAAACAGACCCAGCTTGGACTTGTGATTTACATTTTCTGAAAAGGGCAAAGCTTGAACCACCCACTTAAATAATGATAATTTATTAACCAATAATTTAAATAAAGTTCAATATATAAAATCTTTTCTTGACATTTGACCAATTAATGTAAACTTATCATCAGTATCAAAGATTTGTTTCTGGTAAGCAAGAACAAATTCATGGAAAATGTATCTTGTTTCAGGAGACCCATGTATACATTTTACCATACTTTTTGTGATGTACACCTTGATTATGGCAATAGAAACATTCAAGAGGAATTCTCATATCAGAAATTTCGCAAAGCTTGGCACACCTTCCTCAGTCTGCTGGATATTGATTACACAGATGGTTTTTCATGTCCAGACTGTGGTAATGATGGTCCGGGAACAGTTATATGTGATGGAACATCCCTCTCATTTCAACGTAGGATGTGGAGCTGGGAGACAAACATGAAGAAACTATTAAAGATTTATCATCTGTTAGGTATGTGATATGTCCTTGTTTGAGAAGCAAATTATCTTTTAACCTTCAGCCGTGTAACATGTGCATCCTCATATACAGTCCTACCTGGACTTCTACAATTGCCGGGGATTGAATATTTAATTCAATTAATGGATTGGTTTGATTAATCGGAATCTGAATATAGTGTAAGACGACAACTATTAAACTTTTACCAAGCGCCAATTATAGGCAAGTTGCATAATAACATCACAAGTACCTGCTACTACAATTAAGTAGATTTACCGGTTAGCAAAAAGAGCCAATATTTCTATGCTGAATTGTTAAATTCTTTTAACTTTTTTATTAGCTCACCAGAGCCGAAGGCTCAGGGTGAGCTATTAGTATCAAAGGGGGATATACTCCGGTGTCCGTTGTCCGTCGTCATGCGTCAACAATCGTCTTCTTCTCTGAAACTGCTAGACAGATTTACTTCAAATTTGGTCTGTAGCATCCTTGTGACAGTCACACTTGAATTTGCTCATGCCATTTCAATTGGCCCCTTTTAGGGGTCAACAGAGCTAAAAATAGAAAAACCTTTAAACATCTTCTTCTACAGAACTAATTGATGGATGATCACCAAACTTTGTCTGTAGCATTCTTGGGTAGTCTTTTATCAAGTTTGCTCATATTAATTTGATTGGCCCCTTTTAGGGGCTGCTAAAGCTAAAAATAGAAATTACTTTAAACATCTATATCTAGAGAACTAATTGATGGATGATCACCAAACTTTGTCTGTAGCATTCTTGGGTAGTCTTTTATCAAATTTGCTCATATTAATTTGATTGGCCCCTTTTAGGGGTCTCTAGACCTAAAAATAGAAAATCATTTAGACATCTTCTTCTACAGAACCAATTGATGGATGATCACCAAACTTTGTCTGTAGCATTCTTAGGTAGTCTTTTATCAAATTTGCTCATATTAATTTGATAGGCCCCTTTTAGGGGTCAAGGGAGCTAAAAATGATATAAACCTTTAGACAGCTTTTTCTACAGAACTTATTGATGGATGATCACCAAACTTTGTTATTAGCATTCTTATAGTAATCTCTTATAAAAATTGCTCATATTTATTTGATTGGCCCCTTTTAGGGACTGCTAAAGCTAAGATACCCCAGACCATGGCATTTCTTCAAATTATAGAATGGTTATTTGAATGACTTGCACAGTTTGTATAACTGAAAATAAAGACAAATCATTCACATCGGGATGCACAAACTTTTGAGTTTTTTAGTACCGTATGGTACTGGTTACGAGAGTTGACGGAAAATCGGAACTAGTGTGTTACGCTTGACAGACGCTTCCAAAGCTCCATAATTTTACCGATTGGGCACATATTTGCCCTCAAATAAAAAGTTTGTTGTCCCAAACTGTAAACACCTTACATATTTTGCATGTGACATTTTGTGTATTCATTTACAAAAGTTATAAAGAAAAAATGTTCCATCAAAATTAACCCTGCTGTAGTGGTCATTTATCAGGTCTAGTATTTCATGATATTTATGAACTGTCCGTAAATTTATGGATAGTCTGGGACATTATCTTATATCCCAGGGATAGTCTAGAAATTTAAAGATTTTTCAATCCATAAATTTACAAATCTATATTCAATGTGAAATTTGCTGTTTTTAATTTTACACTAAAATCCGCAGCTTCTGACTAGATTCAGTGTACCTGGTGTCGTACACTTTAAGGAAAAATAAGAAAATTATCTTATAGTTAAAAATTCTTCTTATAATTGATATTATTTTGAAAATTACATCCCATTAATGCCCATAAAAAATGATGACCAAAACGTTTCTATCTTAAGTAGGTCATACTTCTTAGTTCTAGGCGCACTTGATTTTAAGCAACAGGAATGGGCCAAATATAATAAATAGTGGACTCGGTTCCGCACACAAGGCCATTTTTATACTGACAGCTGGTTATTTTACATCTTAAACATGTTTTATAAATTATTTAACATCTCTAAGTCCAGATAAGGTATTTTTTTTTTGCTAATTTTCAGGACTTCAAATAAATTTAATGCACATTCTTTCTAACATTACAAACATTTATTTCCAAGAAGAGTAGCACACAGGAAACATGTAACAGCAATGGAAACATACTTTTTTACAACATGTAGGTAGCAAGCATAGACAAAAAAAAATATGATTGAAAGTTTTTTCATCTATTTAGTTATGATTTGTTCGATTAAGAGTTTGGTTTTATTTTAAACAAAAGAATCAAGGTAAAATGACTTGACGTTTGGTAGTTGGGAGAAGTTAATTCATGTGCATATTTCATAACTAACAGCAAATTTGCCATAACAAAAACATACATTTCTTTTTATAATAATATTAACATTAAAATAGAAATTAGCATGGTTTAATTGCTGAATAAGATGTTTTTATGTGTGACCTACACAGCCACGTACATGTATTTACATTTTTGTCTGCACTCTCCAGGGAGAGGCTAGGGGGAGGGGGGCAAGATCCCAGATTATGTCATATCCTGTTGAAAACATGCCAATTCAGTGAAACACAAATGAAAACTGAATAAATTCATTTGAATTTTCAAGAAAAAATGAAAAATGGGAAAGTGTGCGGGACAGGGTCCTGTGCGGAACCGGGTACACTGACTCTAGTTTTTTTATTGATTGTTTATATTTACAAAGGTAATGTGGTGAGTTTCATCTTTGTATGATGATTTTGAAATATTTAATAAAAGTGAAAATTGAAAGTCATCATATTGTTTTGAATCTCACCATACTGTTACATTTAATCATATAGTATGTAACCTTATTAATTTTAACCTGTGGTTTTGAATTTTAATGCAGCTTCTACTATTTTCTTACTTAATGTCTGTAAATTTACAGATACAAAAATCTGTAAAATTATGGCTCGTCCAAAAATTTACAGACTGTCCGTAAACATCATGAAATCCTAGACCTGTTTATTCTGAATAATTTTATTCTACATAGTCTCATGGGAACACACTTGCAACATAGATATTTCTAACAAAGCCTCCAAAATATTAGGGCAAAATATTTCAATAATTAGAAGGGCAAGTAAAAGTTGAGGTGGACTGGTCTTTCAACAAGTTCTTTGAAAAATAACACTGAAAAACAGTTGTTTCTGGTGAGCGACTCAGGGCCATCATGGCCCTCTTGTTTGTGTGTTTTTTGTTGTTTTTTTTTAGATTCTTATATAATTGAAAGTTCTTTATATTCATATTTTTGAAATATAAGCGGATTTGAATTTTTTCTTGTAAAAAATTAGCTCGGCTATTTTTTAAATGTTGTTTCAATAGTTCACCCAGTTTAACGCTTTACCAAGAATAAAGGAAACAGTTTTGAAAATTTATTATTTAATGTGTAAAACATGATCCCTTTCTATTGCTATAAAATATTAAGCTGCTTAATTATTTATAGAAAGTCTTATATACATGAACTGGAACAAAATAGTATGTGTTATTTTGGTTTTGGAGTGATATATGTTGATATATTACCTGCAAAGATTTTATATCACCCAATATCAGACAATCACTGTGATTAAATTGAAGTTCCTAAACTATCATAATTTTCCTACCTACTGTTAGGTTTTACTAAAATTTTCCTCAAAGAAAGAAAATGTATGTAACTTATAAGGGACATTATTTGTTAGGCTTATCTAAAGCTACTGTTTGATCCATTATTTTTTTCATATAAAGGTTTTCCCGAAATATATTGTACATCTTGGTTTATTTTTGAAAAATCTGAATATTATTCAAGTTTTTTTTGTGTTAAAAATCAATTGTGGTGGAATATTTCTCATTAAATATAAATTTCAGCCATTTTTAAGTTTGAAAAATTTAAAAATTCAAATTTTGGCTTTATTAATTTGTATTTGTAATTTTGGATTGTGGCAAAACTTTCAGGATATCTTAATACATGGAAGTATGCAAAGTTACTTATTAAATTTTTATGCCCCCACAGAGTGGGAGCATATAGCGTTGCACTTGTCCGTCCGAGTGTCCGTCTGTCTGTCCGTACGTCCCGAAATCTTGTGAACGCAACTCCTCTTAAACCGGATGGCAGATTTTGCTTAAACTTCCAGGGATGAATAACCTTAATGTGTAGATGGTAGTAAAGGAAGGAACTTTTGCTGCGACCAAATTTAACAGAATTATGGCCCTTTGTTGATTTTTTCACTATATACTATGTAGAAATTTTGTGAACGCAACTCCTCTTAAACCGGATAACAGATTTTGCTTAAACTTCCAGGGATGAACAACCTTAATGTGTAGATGGTAGTAAAGAAAGGAATTTTTGCTGCGACCAAATTTAGTAGTTCTTCTCTGATTAACCACCAGATAAATATAATTATCCCAATGGCGGTTCCTATCTGCAGCTACCGTCACCCCCAACATCACTAACTGGTAAGAGGCTGAGCTTTTCCTGCTGCTACCCTTACCCCACCAGTACTAACTGGTAAGAGGCAGGCTTTTATTACATTAGACTTATTCCAACTACATGTACAAGGAATTTCCCTCAAGTTGATTTCCTACATGGCACCCTGGATCCAAACACCATGATTACAACCTGATTTTCCCTCAGATCGATATCCTACATTTTATTCTATCCAATTTCCTTCCCCCCTTTGGGATTAGAAGAACCACACGTTAGAATAAAAATGATATCGACCCAACCTTGTAGTCTTAAAACACCTAAAAGCATTTTATAAACTTTTAGGGCTACCCTTTGACCTTAGCTTAGTCAACTGTGAAAGCCTTCTCAAACTTATCTTCAAGTTCCTCAATAGCCTCCGTCACAGTTTCCCAAGTCACAGAAGAGTTATCTTCATCAGAATGAACTTCATAACTGTCAGTACTGACTGAAGGAACCCTCTTTCCTTCACACCTTTCACTGCGTTTGCACCTACCAAAAATGGCATCATGGCTCTGTTGGTACTTACGGACCACTAATTTGGCTTGTTCGACCGTGGATGGATCATGCATGTTAACATG